CGTCGGGCTCTGTGCTGACAGCTCAGAGCCTGGAGCCTGCTTCGGATTCTGTGTCTCCCCCTCTCTGTGCCCCTCCCCCTCTCATTCTCTTTCTCTCTCTCTCTCAAAAATAAACATTTAAATAAATAAAATTAAGTAAACAAACGAATAAATAAATAAATAAATAAATAAATAAATAAATAAATAAAATGCAGTTCTTTGGAGCACCTGGGTGGCTCCGTGGGTTGAGCATACAATTCTTGATTTCAGCTCAGGTCATGATCCCAGGATCATTCCTCCAATCCCAATCTAACCAACACAGCATTCATCCCCTTTCGTTCATCCCTCCCTGAGAGTGAGAAACGTGCCTTTTGTTATTTTCAGCATATTTATTGGTAGGGTCGACCCCCCCCAAGTGTGTAACCAGTCTTCCACGCTGCCACCCTTTGCGGACCCCTCCTCACCCTCTCTAAGCCTCTAAGTTGTCCCCGCTTCTCCCCACGTTTATCTGGGAGGCATACAGGACACCCTCCTCGCCGCACGCAGCCTCTCAGATAGAGGGGAACAGGCTTCGTCGCCAGGGATGAGAATTACAGCATTACCGGAGACAAATCTGGCAGCAGGTACCAAAATATAGAGATGTGTGTGTGTGTGTGTGTGTGTGTGTGTGTGTGTGTGTCTCTCTCTCTGGTCCTGCAACTCTACCTCTAAAAATGTATGAAAAAGAGTCCACCTGCGGTCCTGACGGCTCCAGGTACGTTCACCCCGCCCAGCTCCTGCCCGTGACCACCGCCGTCGCGGAAACTTCCCAGGGGTCCCCGCCCCGCTGCTGAGATGGCCACGTGCTCCTGCCATGAGGAGGGTCCAGGCTGAACGACAGCGCCAGCTCTTCCTGTCCAAGGTGCTGAGGGAGGAAGACAGCACACAGTGCGTGAACTGCAAGCTCAAAGGTCCTCCATGGGCTTCCTGGAATATTGGTGTGTTTGTTTGCATCAGATGTGCTGGAATCCATAGAAATCTTGGGGTTCATTTATCCAAGGTCAAGTCAGTCAACCTAGACGCAGTGGACACCAGGACAGATACAGGGCTTGCGAGATATGGGAAATACTAAAGCAAGACTATTCTATAAAGCCAATCTTCCAGAGAACTTTCGAAGACCACGGGTAGAGGGGCGCCTGGGTGTCTCAGTCGGTTGAACATCCACCTTCAGCTCAGGTCACGATCTCACAGTTTGTGGGTTCGGGCCCCGTGTCGGGCTCTGTGCTGACAGCTCAGAGCCTGGAGCCTGCTTCAGATTCTCTGTCCCCTTCTCTCCCTGCCCCTCACCAGCTCATACTCCGTCTCTCTCTCTGTCTCTCAAAAATAGATTAACATTAAAAAAAATTTGAAAATAAAAGTACCAGCGCTAAAAAAGTCGCAGAGCCCACTGCCAACCTTTTAGGACCTGATGGCGCTGCTGAGGCACCAGTGACCAATGGGAACACAACCGCGCTGCCAGCCCTGAGTGATGATCTGGACACCTTTGGACCAATGACTTCGAATCCCTTACCTCCAACCGTCTACGCCCCCAGCTCTGGGGACGTCCTCTATACCTGCAGCTGCCACTCTGTCTACGTTAATATCTGGGGTGCTCGATCTGTTCACTCAGCAAGCTACAAAATCAGAAGAGGTGGGGAAGAAGCAACACGCCAAAGACTCCATCTTCTCTCTGTGTGGTACAGGAACCGTTCGGCAGAAGAGTACTCCTGGTGTGCTTATGGGACCCACAAATATGCCCTTTGCCTCACGAGCACCGTCTGTCTTTCAAGGCTTTCCATCGACGGGCACGCCTGTGCCTCCACCTGCAGCTCCTGGTCTTCTAGGAAATGTGATGGGACAGGGCGCCAGCCTGATGGTGGGCATGCCCAGGCCCAGCGGGTCTATGGGAAACACATGAACCGGTGTGATGTCACTTCCTTCAAATGTGGTCGGCCCCCAAGGAGGAACCGTAGGACAGAGGGGCGCACCCTCGGGTGAGCTTGGCCTGCCGCGAGCTCAACGGCCCCAGCAGAACCTCTCGCAGATGAATCAGCAAATGGCTGGCACGGGTATCAGTAGTACGAACCCTGCAATGGGTTTTGGCCAGCCCCCAACACAACAGCAGGCTGGCCCGGAAGCTCATCCGTTCAGACTCTCGGCACACAGCTGTGGAAATGAAAACTGCAGGGCAAGTTACATCCAGAACCAGCCCCTGACATTCTTTGCTAAAACACATCTCGTTCCCATGTTTACTCATGTACTTTTTTTTTTCTTTTTCCCCGTTTGTTCATATTAAGAATTACCTGACTGGGGCACCTGGGTGGCTCAATCGGTTGAGCGTCCAGGTCATGAGCGTCGGCTCAGGTCATGATCCCCAGGGTCATGGGATCGAACCCCGCACTGGGCTCCGTGCTGAGTGTGGAACCTGATGAAGATTCTCTCTCTCTCTCTCTCTCTCTCTCTCTCTCTCTCTCTCCCTGCCTCTGCCCCTCCCCCACTTGTGCGTGCTCTCTCTCACAAATAAAAAAAAATTAAAAAGAATTATCTGATTGACCATGTTGGTCTGTACTGATTAAATGTGATGTGGGGGCACCTGGGTGGCTCAGTCCGTTAACCTCCTGACTCGACTTGGGCTCAGATCATGATCTCACATATTGTGACTGTGAGCCCCACAATGGCCTCTGCACTGACAGTGCAGGGTCTGCTTGGGATTCTCTCTCTCACCCTCTCTCTTTGCCCTTCCCCCACTCGCACATGCACTCTCTCCCTCTCTTAAAATAAATAAAGTTTAAAACATTGAGGGGCACCTGGGTGGCTCAGTCAGTTAAGCATCCAACTTCGGCTCAGGTCATGATCTCACGGTTCATGGTTTCGAGCCCCACATCAGGCTGTGTGCTGACAGCTCAGAGCCTGGAGCCTGCTTTGGATTCTGTGTCTCCCTCTCTCTCTGCCCCTCCCCCTGCTCTCGCTCTGTCTCTCTCTCTTTCAAGAATAAATTAACATTACAAAAAAATTTTTTAATTAAAAACATTGATGTGAAAAGCAAAAAAAAAGAATTGTAGCTCAAATACGGAGATGAGGTAAGAGGATACCAGGCACAGCCTTTCTGTAAAATAATGAATAATTGGAGACAAGCTCAGTTTTCTTTGCCTTAGCTCCTGAAGCAGGGCGGCTTACATGCCTCCCAAACCCATCTGCCTGGAGGACCAGATAATTGGTTGTTAATTGGCTTCCTCCCAGGGCTCTTAGCATCCTGCATTTTCTGGTTGTGTTTGTACGAGAATCCAGAGGGCTGTTGTGTGTCAGAGAAGGTCCTGGGGCAGAAAGTGGAGGGAGCAAGGCAGGCACTTGAGTCGGGACCCTTCCTCCGTAGGCACAGCTGAAATCAGAGTTAGGCCAAAGGGAGACCGGTCTTCAGCATGATGGTGTCTTCAGCATGTTCTGGTTTAGGCCAAAAGTCCCAGGGACTTAACACCCCAGGAGCAACCCTCCCACTGAGGGATGGGAGTGGGTGGGAAAATGTCTCATGCGGTAGGCGACTTCCAAGATGGCCTCCGATGACCCCTGTTTCCCGGGACTCACACCGTGTGTATTTCCTTTCCACACTGAAAATGGCTGAACTGTGTGATAGGATGTTACAGAAACGACAGTGTATGATATCCAAGGCTAGATCATAAAAGAATTGTAGCTCCTGCCTTTTTCCCTTTTGGATCTCTTGTTCTTGGCGGAAGCCAGCTGCCATGTTATGAGGATGCTCAAGCAATCCAGGGGAAGGTACACATAGGAAAGGTGCATAAGGACTCCTGTCAACAACCAACACTCCCTCGTCAGGCAAGTGAGACAGCCATGTGGCCATGTTGGAAGTGGATTCCCCGACACAGTCAAACCTTTTGATGATTCCAGCCTCATGAGAGACCCTAAGCAGAACCCTGAGCTAGAACCACCTAGTTGAGCTGCTCCTGGATTCCTGACCCTCGAAAACTGTGTGATATAGCAAACATTTATTGGTTTTTTTAGTGTTTATTTATTTTTGAGAGAGACAGAGAGCACGAGAAGGGGAGAGGCAGAGAGAGAGGGAGACACAGAATCCGAAGCAGGCTCCAGGCTCTGAGCTGTCAGCACAGAGCCCGACGCGGGGCTTGAACTCAAGCACCGCGAGATCCTGACCTGAGCTGAAGTTGGACACTTAGTGGACTGAGCCACCCAGGCACCCCAAATGTTTATTGTTTTAACCTGCTAAGTTTTGGAGTGATTTGTTGTGCATTAATAGCTAACTATATTCTCATACAGCCCTGTAGGAATGGAAAAATGGTGTAGTGACTTTGGAAAACAGTTTGCTGGTTCCTCAAATGATTAAACAGAGAGGTACCGTATAACCCAGCAATTCCACCCCTAAGTATACACCCAAAAGAAATGAAAACATATGTCCCCAGAAAAACTTGTGCATGAATGTTTACAGCAGGATGTATTCAGGATAGTCAAAAGGTGGAAACAACCCAAATGTCCATCAATGGACACATGGAAAAATAGAATGTGATACATTCATATAATGGAATATCATTTGGCGTATAATGGAATGAAGTAGAGATACATCCTGTAGCTTGAGTGAGCCTTGGAAAGTGAAAGAAGTCAGTCACAAAATCCACATGTTCTGTGACTCCACTCATACAAAATGTCCAGAAGGCAAGTCTATAAAGACAGAAAGTAGGTTAGTAGTTGCCTAGGCTGAGGTGGGGGATCGGGGTGATAACTAAAGGGTATGAGATTTCTCCTTAAGGTTATGAAAATATTCTAAAATTGGCTATGGGAATGGCTAACACACATTTGTCAGTAAACTAAAAATTACTGAATTGACTACTTTTAATGGATCTGTTATATGTATATGAGTTACATTTTAATAAAACTGTTTAAAAAGCTGGTAATGAAGGGGTGCCTGGCTGCCTCGGTTGACAGACCATGCAACTCTTGATCTCAGGGTTGTGAGTTCAAGCCCCACGTTGGGCGTGGAGCCTACTTTAAAAAAAAAAAATGCTGATAAGGGATACACCCCAGCTTCTTCCCCGCTGGTGAGACAACTCTGAGGCGTGTTCCACACAGTCTCTCAGAAGATGCCCTGTAGGACTGACCCCATTTCCCATGGCCGTATTATGCCTGTTAATATGCACTTTCTTTTCTCTCCTTTCTTCCCGGTCTCATTTCTCCACGCCGTGCTTTCTGGGACCACATCTCAAATAAACTTCTTCGCCCAGTTCTTGTCTCAAGGTTTGCTTCTGAGGGAACCAAACTAAAGCAATCATGTTCTTCAGGTTGGAGGTCAGGATGCCCTGGCATGGGGCTCATTCTGCACCCATCCTTAGAGAACCCAGATGGGAGGGTGGTGCCCACTGGCAGACTGTCCAGGGTGAAGGCTTGAACCAAAGTCCAGAACGGTCACAGAGCTGCCCCCCATCCTCCCCAGCATGCCTGGCATGAGCCTGGCACGATTTGCACACACACACACACACTTTTAGGCATGGGAGAATTAAACAACCCAGCCTGTCACCGCCCTTTACCCGAGTCAGGCTGTGTGGGACATGTTCATTTCCCCTTTGGCTTATTTTGCTGGTCTCTGTGGCTGGGCGTCATCTGACCACACAAACTACCAAGACAGAGAAACAGGAGGCTCTGAAGGGTTGTGTGGAACTCAGTCAGACCCTCTAATGGTGAACCAGAGGTATCTGATGGAGGGGGGGGAAAGATTGCACAGCTAAGACTTGACATTAAAGATACAGGAACATCCCTGGAGGCCCCCCGCCCCAGGCAGAGGGGCCAGCATGGTAAGGCACCTCCCTCACAGGTCACGCTGGCTGCAAACCTCACCAACTGTCGCCGAGCACAGGCTGACTGTCCAACAGGAGAGGGAAGACGCTTGGGCTCGACTCAGCTTTTCACAGCAGCCTCCAGGCCCAGACTGGGAAACGGGTGCCTGGAGTTTTATGCTTTCCCCGATTTAGTCCTGTTCAGCCGTGGTCAAATGCCATCATCTTCAACCAAAAGACAGCTGGTGGATGTTAATGCTTCCAGCATTCACACACAGGGTTACCCAAAGCAACAGAACTAAAGAGCTCCGATTGGCCCAAAGATTTCATAAGTTGGTCCTAGAATAAGGACTTTGATTTCACTTTTTACATATTTTACTGTGATGCTGAATTTCACGTGTCAGATTGGCTAGGCTATAGTATCCGGTTATTTATTCAAATGCTAATCTAAGTGTCGCCGTAAAGGTATTTTGTACACATGGTGAACATCTACAAGGAGTTGACTTTATTACTTTCCATGATGGAGGTGGGCTTCGCCCAATCAGTTGAAGGCAGCAGCTGCAAAAGCTGAGGCTTCCCAGAGAAGAGATTCTGCCTCACGATGGCACCATCAACTCCTACCTGAGTTTTCAGCCTGCCAGCCTGCCCTACGGATTTCAGAGTTGCCAGCCTTCCAGTCACATTAGCCAATTTCTTTAAAAGAGGGACAGAAAAGGTATATACCTCTCACCTATTGGTTTCGGTTTTCTGGAGAGCTATGACTGGTACATCTACCTCTAGAGGAAGGTAAGCCTGAGAGGCGCTGTGTTGTGGGGCATCACAAACAAAGAGTCCACCTTTCAGGGGGCATGAGCGTCTGTCCTGGGGGAGACAATGCCAAGGTCACAAGGAAGCAGGTAGGGGATTTGCAAAAACACGTCCTGTGGCTCTGCACCCATAAAATGCATCCTGCTGCTGGTTTAAGCAAATTGGCTAGAAAACATAACTCCCACAAAGCTATCCCAAGATAGTGCTGCAAACGGAAAATTACAGAAACCACTCAAAGGTCTCCCAAAATCCAGGTCCCGTAAGCCGGCTGCCACATAAATCAGAGCAGGTCACAGCACTGCCCTGATGAAAATCCTCCCGAGGATCTTACGATCAACCCGAGTTTAGCTCAGCCTGTAGCCCAGCCTTGCCCACTCCGGCCCCCTTCTCCTTCCCTTTGCTCTGCCGGTCCACTCTCTGCCACCTCAGGATCTTTGCATGTGCTATGGAACTCCTTTCTCCTGGCTCCTTGTTTGGTGCCTTCTCCTCCTTGAGGGCTCTGAGGTGGCCTTCCTGACCACACATTCTGACATACCCCCCTCCACCCCTAAAACCATCTTCTGCCCCCCTGTTCATGCCCTTCATGGAACTTACCACAGTCTGGGGGCACCTGGGTGGCTCAGTCGGTTAGGCGTCCGACTTCGGCTCAGGTCATTATCTCACGGTCCGTGAGTTCGAGCCCTGCGTCGGGCTCTGTGCTGACAGCTCAGAGCCTGGAGCCCGTTTCAGATTCTGTGTCTCCCTCTCTCTCTGCCCCTCCCCTGTTCATGCTCTGTCTCTCTCTGTCTCAAAAATAAATAAACGTTAAAAAAAATTAAAAAAAAAAAAAAAAGAACTTACCACAGTCTGGAATGATTTTGTTTCTTTTCGTGCTTATTGTCTGTGTCTGAAAGTTCCAGAAGAATGTGCCACACCATCTCATTCTCTTGTGCCTTCCCCACATCGGGTCATAGGAGGCCGCGCCCGATACATATTGAGTGAATAAATGATTCCTCAGCTCCTAAGCTCATCCACATTCAGGTCAGGGCCGCTTCCTGCCTTCCCACAGTGCCCTGGGCTGACCCATCATGTCTCTCGATGATGCACAGTAGAGCCGTGGCATCTAGCTATCCAGAAGGCTGGCCCCCATGCCTGGAGGGTGGAGGACTTGGATACTTGCACAGGGTTACAGGGTTGAGCCTAAAGAGAAAGTCGTGTTGTTTAACAAGGTGGAAATGAACTGAGCCCTGAAGAGTGTTCCTGGCAGAGAGAACAGCAAGGGGGGGGAAGGCCTCAGGGCAGCGTTTCCAAGGACTGACGGGAAGCCAGAGAACCAACCTCTAAGAGCCAGGAGGAAAGTGGCGGGAGCAGAGGGAGGGCAGGGCCTGAGGGCAGACTGAGATCCACAGGGGGATTTTCAGTAGGGAAAGGATATGGCCTGACACACACACACACACACACACACACACACACGCACGCACGCACGCTGAAAATCCAGATAATTCCTGGGCTGAGGGAATAAAGAGTAGGGGTGAGAAGGAGACTTTTTTAAAAAACATTTTTTTAATGTTTATTTATTTTTCAGAGAAAGATCACGCAAGCAGGGCAGAGAGAAAGGGAGACAGAGGATCCAAAGTAGGCTCTGAGCTGTCAGCACAGAGCTGGATGCGGGGCTTAAACTCACGAGTGGGGAGATCATGACCTGAGCCTAAGTCGGAGGCTCAACTGACGGAGCCACCCAGGCCTTCCGAGGCATTTTTTTAAACTATGGTATTAGCTAGGCTGCTAGCTATTTCTTTTCTCACTATGTACACGTATTGCCTTAAACTTTAAGCACACGATCACTCTGGCCGAGAGGTAGAGGCTGGACCGTAAGAGGCAGAGGCGATTGTGGTGGGGCCTATGTCAGACTGCAAACTGCCCGCCTGGTAGCCATTCTCTTCCCCCTCCTTTCCTCACTGACCGACCCGACTGTCTCCTCTCCCAAGTGACCATTCACACAGCGTGCGTCCGCCTAAAAGACTAAGTTTCCCAAAGAGCAGGTGTCACTGAGTACAAGTCGCTGAGTGGAACTTTTGAGGAAATTGTTAAAAGAGGGACAGGCAACTGAGAAGGGCCCTCTTCTGCTTTCCTTGGCTTTGACCCTTTATGACCTCCACTTCAGTGGGGTTACTTTCCACGGGGGTCCCTCATTCCTGAGTCATAGAAGCCAACCTACAGCTTTGCTTTCGCCGCTCAAGCCCCTGAGATTCATTGGTTATGATGATTTCTAGGCTTTCCGTGTAACTTCAGAACCCCTGCCCTTGGCTTTGAAGGTCAACAGCTGTCTCCCGATCTCCATGAGCCATTTCTGCTTCTCCTCCTGCTAACTTCACTGGTTTTACGTTCCCTCTGCATTCCTGGCACCTGGGAGTTTTCCTCTTTGAGTTTAAACCTGGCTAGGTATTCAAAAAATCATTTTACTGTATTTGAAAAAAAATTTTTTAATGTTTATTTTTGAGAAACAGAGAGGGACAGAGCACGAGTGGGGGTGGGGAGTGGGCAGAGAGAGAGGGAGACACAGAATCCGAAGCAGGTTCCAGGCTCCGAGCTGTCAGCACAGGGCTCCATGCGGAGCTCGAACCCACGAACTGTGAGATCATGACCTGAGCCGAAGTCAGACGCTTAACCGAGTCACCCAGATGCCCCTATTTTACTGTATTTTATTCAGCATGCCCATGTATATATAATCATTTCTTGCATCCTGTCTTATCTTCTTGTTCATCTATAGCACACAATTCGACAATTAATTACTTCAGCGTGTATATTGTCTCCCTAACTAAACGTAGACGCTCCCAGTTACATTCCTGCAAAATTCATATTGAAGTTGAAGTCCTAACCCCCCAGTTAGTGTGATTATATTTGAAGATAAGGTCTCTAAAGACATAGTCAAAGTTAGGGGTGCCTGGGTGGCTCAGTCGGTTAAGTGTCTGTCTTCAGCTCAGGTCATGACCTCAAGGTTCTTGAGTTCGAGCCCCACGTCAGGCTCTGTGCTGACAGGTTGGAGCCTGGAACCTGCTTTGGATTCTGTGTCTTCCTCTCTCTCTCTCTGCCCTTCACACACTTGCACCCTCCCTCTCTCTCTCTCTCTCTCTCAGAAATAAGTAGACATTAAAAAATTTTTAAAAAGTAGATTCTCATGAGAACAAAATGAAATGAAGGAAGACATTACAGATGGACAGGCACTGTTACCAAGTGCAGGGACAGCCCGGACACATGGCCAAAGTCTAGATTGGATGGAGTCTAGAGCAGCACCCCTCAGACTCTCTGCCATCTTGGTTTGCCCCTCCTCTGTGACCTCCTGAGTGACCCAGCTCCAAATCCAGTCCCTGGGGGGCTTCACCAGGCCCTGGGTGTCCATCTCGGTGGGTCCTAGACTTCCTAGGAGGTCACAGTCATCGTCATCTCCTAGGAACACACGCCCAACAGGGCACCCCAGCAAACATCCAAGCGCCCACAAAGCAAGCACAGAGGAGCAGGGGAGGCCACCTGGCTTCAAGCTGTGAGGTGCAGGGAGGTCACCTCCCAATGTATTTCTGAGGTGCTTCACTTAGGACGCAAGTGGTTTTCCCAGAAACTTCCCTTAAAAACACAGTTCTGGGGGCGCCTGGGTGGCTCAGTCGGTTAAGCTTCCGACTTCAGCTCAGGTCACGATCTCACGGTCCGTGAGTTCGAGCCCCGCGTCGGGCTCTGGGCTGATGGCTCAGAGCCCGGAGCCTGCTTCCAATTCTGTGTCTCCCTCTCTCTCTGCCCCTCCCCCGTTCATGCTCTGTGTCTCTCTGTCTCAAAAATAAATAAACGTTAAAAAAAAAAAACACAGTTCTGGGGGTTCCCATCTGACCCTGGGTGCTCTTGCCTCCCCTTGACCTGGAATCCCTTCCCTAAATCATCAGATTCCAGAATCCTCCCCTCCCAATGCAGAAGCGCCCTTCTGACTTGGGGCCTTCCCTTCTCTGACTCACATTCTTCCTCCTCCTCCTTCTGACCCCAGATTCTCCAACACTTATACAGCTCCCCAGCTGTGGACGAGGGTCCCCCACTCGCTGAGACCAAGAGGGCTCCTGCCCTCGCACCCAACACCCACAGGCTGTCCTGCGGCCTGGTGGCACTGGCAGTCTGTGGGCAGGGGCAGGAAAGGGAAGCTGGGAGGGACAGGGGAGGGACAGGGGAGCATCTCCGTGGGCATTCCCCAACCAGGGCGGTCACTGGACCAGCAGGGGAAGGGGGCTCGGCCAGATACCAGGAGGAGGACACAACTGTGTCTAGTGGAGCCCAGGTGTCAATCTTTGGTGTCCATCCGAGTCACCTCATTGGTGACTGCAACAATTCTGTTGACTCAGAATTTCTGAGCCAGCGGGGCCGAGGCGAGGCCCGGGAACGTGCATTTCTAACAAGGTCCCTGGTGAGGCGGTTGCTGTCTGTTAGGACTGGACTTTGAGAACCGCTGATGCCCATGGTCTGCTCCTCAGTTTGTGGCGTCTGTTAACCTGGGTTCCAGTCACAGCTCTGCCCCCTGCTGGCAAGTGGCCTCTTAGACAAAGAAATTCTTCGGCCCAAGTTTGTCTCCATCAGAGAGATAAATGGAATATTTACTTCCTGCTGTGGTTGTAAGGATTAAGTTGAAATAACTTGGGTAAATTATTTAGCACAGTTCCTGGCATAGAATACGACTGGGGACAAATCAATCCTTTTTCAGTTGGTTGTGGTGTGGGAATTTGGCTGGAAGGAAGCTGCTGTTTGGAAGGTTTTGTTTTTTCGTAAGCCTTAATGAATTACTTGACTTTAAGAAAAATAAATTTTTAAGTAGTCTCTATGCCCAACATGGGGCAAAACTCACGACCCCAAGATCAAGAGTTCCAGGCTCCACTGACTGAGCCAGACAGCCCCCCCGCCCATGAATTATTTGACTTTTAAGAAGATGGGGTGCTTGGGTAGCTCAGCCCCACTGACTTTGGCCTTGAACTCCTGATGGGGTGTATGTGACATGACCTACAGCAGAGATCTGAAGAGCCATTGCTCATTTTTACCCGTTCCCTAGCTCCTGTCCTCTGCCAGAAGTCTGATGAGTCCCTGGTGGGGGTTGGTCCTTCACTTGTATTCCAGAATGAAGAAGAATCACAGCCACAGCTGACCCACAGCCAAAAGGAGCCACGCCACAACCAAACTGTGAAGGAAATGTACAACAGGCATGGCTGCGAGCTGCTGAGATGTTAGGACACGTTACTGCAGCTAAACTTAGTGACAACTCAGTAAAACTATCCTAAGAGAGACATCTGGCTAAATAAAGCATGATGCGTCTATATGATGGGAATGTAGCTAGTAAATTTAAACATTTTTTAATGTTTATTTATTTTTGAGAGAGAGAGAGACAGAGACAGAGCGTGAGTGGGGGAGGGGCAGAGAGAGACGGAGACACAGAATCGGAAGCAGGCTCCAGGCTCCGAGCTGTCAGCACAGAGCCTGTCACAGGGTTCGAGCCCACAAGCCAAGAGATCATGACCTGAACCGGACTGACGTCCAACCGTCCAACCGACTGAGCCACCCAGGCGCCCCGCAGCTAGTAAATTTAAAGTTACATTTCATTTATTTTTTTAATGTTTATTTATTTTTGAGAAAGAGAGGTGGGGGCAGAGAGAGGGGGACGAGGATCTGAAGCTGGTTCTGCACTCACAGCACAGAGCCGGATATGGGGCTCAAACTCACAAACCATGAGATCGGGACTTGAGCTGACGTCGGACACTTAACGGACTGAGCCACCCAGGTGCCCCTTAAAGTTACATTTTAAGTTGCATTAACTTTAAATTCATATTTAAATGCATGCAGCTATTGAAATTACATGTAAGGATATAGGAAACAGCTAAAAGTGTCATTTTTTAGTAAGTAAACAAAGGCAAAATTTAAAACGGAAAGTACAGAGGGATCCCAATTTTGTAAATAAAAACATATCTTATAAAATATATATCTTGTATATATTGTATATGTTGGTTGAAGTAAGTTGGGTAGAAACTTTTCCTAGAAAAAAAGAATTGGGGTGAGGGGAAGACACCTAAAATATTTTAACCATAGTTATCTCACGATGGTGGATTAGGGGGGTGCTTGTTCTCCTTTTTACTTATCTAAACTTTCAACTTGCCTGTAAAAAACATGTCATGCTTTTATACTTTAGAAAAATAGTTATACTATACAGGTATGTTTCAAAGAATCAATAGCCTAGAGGCGCCTGGCTGGCTCAGTCGTAGAGTACAGGACTCTTGATCTTGGAGTTGTAAGTTCGAGACCCATGTTGGGTGTAGAGATTACTTAAAAATAAAATCTTGGGGCGCCTGGGTGGCTCAGTTGGTTAAGTGTCCCACTTCAGCTCAGGTCATGATCTCGCAGTTTGTGAGTTCGAGCCCCGCGTCGGGCTCTGTGCTGACAACTCAGAGCCTGGAGCCTGCTTCGGATTCTGTGTCTCCCTCTCTCTCTCTGCCCATCCCCTGCTCTCTCGCTCTCTCTCTCTCTCTTTCTCTCTCTCTCTCAAAAATAAATGTTAAAAAATGTAAAAATAAATCAATAAAATAAAAATAAAAACAAAAATTAATCAATTGAGGTGCCTGGGTGGCTCAGTCAGTTGAACATCCAACTCTTGATTTCTGCTCAGGTCATGATACTAGGGTCATGGGATCAAGCCCTGCATTGGGCTCCTCATTGAGTGTGGAGACAGCTTAAGATTCTCTCTCTCTTGGGGCATCTGGGTGGCTCAGTAGGTTGAGTGTCCGATTTTGGTTCAGATCATGATCTCACGGTTCATGAGATCTGCCCTGGCAGCATATAGCCTGATTGGGATTCTCTCTCCCCTCCTCTCTTTGCCCCTCCTCCACAATCTCTCTCTCTCTCTCTCTCTCTCTCTCTTTCTCTTAAAATAAATAAATAAACATTAAAAAAAAAAAAAAAGAAAGAAACAGTCACATGTTGTACCCACGGAGCCAGCCAGACACCCAGTAAATTTTGTGTTAACAAGCCTCCAGACTCAACTGCAATGCAAGCCAATTCTTATGTAATTATATGGAACTCTAATTTAAGGTAGGCTGTGGGTGACCTTCAGTGTATCTAATATGTTGTGAATGGGACCCCGAAATAAAATTTCCCCAGAAGTGGTGGTGGTTGCTAATGATTCGTTCTCCTGTCACTGGATACCTTGTGGAGTGACAGTGAACGTGCAGCTTTTAGGAGGCAGGGGTAGGAGTGGGAGGACTCCTTCTCAACTGCCACAATGGGGTCTGGGGCTCAGACCCTGACCCTGAGAGGGATCAGCCACAGAACCAGGATCCTGGATCAGGGGTGGCACCCTCCTGCAATGCTGAAGAATCAGCACTAGGGGACAGCCGAGAGCCGAGTCAGGCTGGGAGGGCGCCTGGGAGCTTCCCCGCATCCTCCGCTCTCCCTGCCAGTCTCCCGCCTGGGACCATCCCTACCACCAAGACAGTAGCTACAGCTTAGAAGATGGTGCCATTTTTCAAAAGGGAATCGCCTTGCAAGTAAACCTAAGTGTTTCACCGGCTCCTTCCAGTGGGATACTCAGAAATATTCAAGATAGGTCAGAGGGTTTTTTTAATTAAATTTTTAATGTTTTTATTTGTTTTTGACAGAGAGACAGAGTGGGGGGGGGGGGGG